AAACTTTTGGACTATATATATGACCAAACTACATAAATTCGGTTTCAAATACAAACCTAAATTAAAAAAAAAGGGCACATATGTTGGGTTTAGAATTTAAACAGTTCGGTTTAAATTTTGAACCCAAACATTTTCATAATTAAGAATAAAAAATAAAAATAAAATTTCATGCTCCGTCTGATGGGGATTGAACCCGGACAGCCTTAGTAGCAACCAATTGTATCAAGCAGCTTTGCACACTCAGCTACAGCCACGCATGTAAATGTGCTTTCATATGTTGAGTTTGAATCAACACCACATTTCGCTGTGTGCAAAAAGTTTCTATTTCGGTTTATATTTTAAACCAAATTTTCTATATATGAAACCTAGAAACTAGAATTAAAACGTTTTGGTTTGATTTTTAAACCACGAACTTTTTGGGCTAAAATTTAAACCACAATATATTAAAAACTGCTTAAAACTATGGACTGGTTTAAAAAGTAGACTATAAAAAATTAAAAAGGGCAGTAGTCCCAGCGCGGTTTAAAAATTAAACCCAAATATTTGACCGTGTACTAAAAATTTATTTTGGGCGGGACGAAGTTCGCCGTGTCTGCCAGTATACAGATAAAATAATACTTTTAACCGCGTCCTGGTAGGTTGTATCATGGAGTTTCTCCTCCATGTCAAAGACTGCGTCAATGCACATCATAGGCAGGATGTCGTTGAGCTCATTATGGAGATCCTTTCCACTCGCTCCACTTATTTTGCTAATTATTTGATGCACCTTCTTGGTGAGCAGTTTTGTCTCCCTAACAGCTTTATGGTGTGCCAACTTGTCAGGTTTTTGGATCACCTAAATTGTATAAATAACATACATATGTACACAGTTTAGTTACGTCAACTGTGTATGTTTTTCTCAACACATGATTTGGTTATAGCTACATTCTTTGATTATAGTTACCAAATCATGTGTTGAAAGCAATATATTTAGCTGACTTTTTTCGGAGTATATATTGAAATAAAT